GTTTGAAAATAATTTTGATTTTGATAGAGCAAAAGCAAATAAAGGTAATAAGTACCCAACATATGTAATGAATATTCCCATTGCATGCGAGAAATGATAAGGTGAATTTTGTTTGGACCAGTTTTCAATATTTTATTTCTATTTCAAGAAAGAAGCTGATGATGCATAGCACTCTAAACATGTTAAAGTGAGGAAGATGTTGCAAGTCTGCCTAGATTTTAACAAGCCCTTGCCAGCTCATTGCAAATTCAGTTTGTTCAACATTTTATGCACTATCACACGTTTGGTGTGCTATGCATTTTCTGCTTCTTTCTTGAAGTAGGAATACCATTCTGAAAACTGGGTCCAAACACCTTATAATTTCTCGCATACAATGGGAATACTCATTAGATGTGCCGTGTAGATTCATTTCCTTAAATTTCTTTTGCTCTTTCAAAAGGAAAATTATTTACAAACGTGAATTGTCGTGCTTGAGCTACAAGGATTCACACCTCGACCTATACACAAATCCAGAAGGTGGTTGAGGATGAAACATCAAAGGTCGTTACGCTCGCAACTAGAACTTCCATCCTGTACATAACTTGGATGCTGTGTACGGAGATGAAGATTGCTAGGCTCACACAACCCACATCGGAATACTAAGCATCATTGAACCACTTTAAAATATCCTTCTCTCGCAATGTCAAAAGAAGAGGGGGATTTAGTGATTTCAAATGAGTCATCGTTTCAAGATTTAAAATGTTGGCGTTTAGTTATTTTGCTTTGATGTTTAAACTTATTTTAATTTTGCTCAATTTTAGGATAGGAGAGGAGAGTACATCTATCCAAGTCAATGAGAAACCAGGTTATTGTTATATTGTCATTCTTTAGCTGCATTCGAAGTCGAAATTGATCGAGCACTATATTCTAAAATCTAAATAAATCATTCAGTTTGCTTTATTTTTCGAAGGATCTAGATCTAAAAGAAAAGCTAATAGCTTCAAAGATAATGAATAGTGAATAGCTAACACTTTTTCTGAATCTCACACTATTCAACACAATTAATTTGGTGACAAAGGGAATATTTTTTGCTTGCTCGAGCTTGGGTCTCTTGGAAATAACTTCTCTACCTTCGAGTAGGGGTCTGGTCTGTGGGGTTTTTTGTTGTTTGCTACTAATAGTATTGATGCCTATGAATTTAATGCTCCTTTCTCTCAAATATTACTTATCCAGTCAATCTCATCTTTAGCCCATTGAAAGTTGAAGTCAACAACCTCTTCTTTCTCTGACCTTTTTCCCCTTTTCTTGCATAACAATAAGGTGGCAGTTGCAGTGGACTTCAAGGATCAAATAGGAGAACAACAAACCATGCAGCAGAATCTTCAAAACATCTCCCTCAAAACCGGGGCCCCCATGGAATCTCACGCCGCCGCGGTTCTCACCCCTTTCGCCTTCTCCAAGCTCCAAGAACAGCTCGTTCTCGCCGCACACTACGCGTCCTTCCAGCTGGAAGACTGCTTCCTCGTCAGACACCACACGAATTCCGATGGAGGCCGTAACGTCTACTGGGCCCCACTGGAAGGCATCATAGGCTGCAGCTGCCAGCTGTACGAGTTCTCCGGGATTCTCTGCCGCCACGCCCTCCGGGTTCTGTCCGCCGGAAACTGCTTCCAAATCCCAGATAGGTACCTGCCCCTCCGGTGGCGGCGAATCAGCAGCTCTGCGCAGATGGTGAACCAGAATGACCATGCTGAAAGGGTTCAGTCCCTGCACTGTTTGGTTTCTAATCTTGTTTCAGAATCCGTGAAGTCGAGAGAACGGCTCGATTTGGCCACCGAGGAAGTTTCGGTCCTCTTGTCTCGGATACGCGAACAGCCGCCGGTTTATTCAACATCATCATCGTCTTACACGAAAAGAAATGGTTGAGTTAAATGAGGAACACGTTAGAGTTATGGTAGAAATGAGAGTATAGTTTTGGGCAGTGAATGAACTAATGAAGGTTTTGTTTGTGTTGTATATATATATAAATTTTCATGTGAGGATTGACAAGAAGATAACATTCACAGGGGGGTATTTTTGGTCATCTCCAAAAATAGATGTGACCTAATATGTAAACTTGCTCTCTACAGAAGGAAAGTATTCTTCTTCCCCTTTTTTGTTACCATTATTTTGGTTAACTTTAAACGCTAAAAATGCAGAAACAAATGAATGTGTTCTTATATACTTTTGTAAGGCAATAAGTCTTTTTTCCACGATTTATTTTTATTACTTACAGAAGCCAATTAATGGAGGTGTTTTTTTGCCGTAAAAAAAGATCGGGACATTTTTATATATAATTTGAATTAGAATAAGATTCTATTAGATAAGTTTTTAATAAAATTACATGAGACAAAAAGAACATGCTCTAAATTATAGCAGAATAAAATTGTGGGAAGATGTTCTATGTATTAGTAACATCTTTCAATCAAACATTGATTTTTCTATAAAAATGATTTGAGCGGTGCAATAGATATTAATCAATATATAATAAACAAAAACGTGGTGGAATGAAAAAATCAATGAATAACAAACAATTGATAAAAATGTGTTAAGAAAAAAGGTAGTGCTATATTCACAATTCGACTTTTTTTGGATCAAACTGTGTCACAATTTAACAAAAAGTCATTTGAAGTCTCTATCCAATACAACCCCTAAATTTGATCTTCGGGTCTGCACTAAGTCATGCATATTTCTGATAAAATAAGAGAGGCAATTTATACACTATGATGTCTATAAGGTGAGCAAAACGATTCACAGTAGAGAAGAAAATAAAGTATTTCATATGATAAACAAAAAGAGTTTGACCAAAGTTAAGAGAATATATGATGGTTTCTCTCTAAAAAAAACTAGTAAAGTAGATAAAATATGTACTGTATCAGTGTTTGATTTTACAAAAAACTCTGACCTTTCTCAACTGGCCATTAACTCAACTCGAAGATGACAAAGGTTCATCAATATTATTTGACAAGTAACATCCACAAAACAAAAAGAATGGAAATGGGCCCTCTAATAAAAAAGAATGGAAATGGACCCTAAAGAACTGTATTCGGTATGTTTTAATAATAATAATAATAATAATATTATTATTATTACTCCCTCCGTCCGGGAAAAATCTTCCCATTTGGACTTTTTCTCGTTTTTTTTGAATGGTTGACTTTGAAAGTAGGGATGGCAACGGGTCGGGTTCAGTTCGGATATACCCTTACCCGAAACCGACCCGAAATTTTGATCGGATATTTTTTTTGCCTGAACCCGAACCGTCGGATATAAATTTCTACCCGAACCCAAACCCGACTGCCTAAACCAAAACCCGAAACCGCAACCGAACCCGAGAATTTGACAAAAACCTAAGCCTAACCCGATCTGAAAACCGACCGACCCGACCATACCAATATCCTAATAAATCAGTTTTTTGTAATGATTTTTATTAAAATAATGATAAAATAATAAATGCAAGTAATGATATAAATAGAATTCCAATACATAAAAACATTTGAACGTTCAAAGACATCGTAAAATTAAGATATTAAAAAAGATGTGTCCCAAATAACAACCAAAACATGGAAGTATAACAAGTTTTCACAAATATTTCACAAGAGAAACAACACACATAAATATAACAAGTTTTCACAAATATTTTTCAAGTCCGTAACCGGTAATTCCCGTAAGTCAAAGACTTTTAATTGAAAAAGGTTTTTTTTATATTTCAAAAAGGCCTTTTATTTCGGGTTAATGATCGGGTCGGTCGGGTACGGGTCGGGTCGGTCAAATTTAATTACCGACCCGACAAAAGTCGGGTTCGGTTTTAAAATCTTCGGGTCGGTTTCGGATATTTATTTTTTCGGTCGGATTCGGATATTATATACTTCGGTCGGGTCGGAAAAAGTCGGATTCATATAAAATTGCCATCCCTATTTGAAAGTGAAATGTCCATAATGCCCTTTATTTCTTTCCTGTTTTACAACTCCAACCCTGCCCTCCACTCCCCTCCCCTGATCTGTGCCAGGGCTGGCACCCACCACCGCCATCAACCCCGACTCCATCGTCACCGTCAGCTCCGCTAAAATTGACCCAGCCCCAACCGCCGTCGCCGTCGCCTCTACCACAATTGACCCAGCCCCCACCACAATCGCCCCTCCCCTAGCCGCCATCCCGCCACCATCTCTCCTCCAGGAGAAATAGAAAAGGGGAAGAGAAAAAAGAAGGGAAGAAGATCTAGTACAGATCTATCGTAGATCTGGAAGAGAGGGAATTTCGGGAAGAGAAGAAGAAGAAAAAAGAAGAAGAAGAAGAAAAATAAAAAGAGAGAGGCAAAGATCTGGAGAAGAATGGGGGGAGGGAGGGGAAGGAGACGAAAAAAAGAAGAATGAAAAAAGAAGGGGAGAGAAAAATACTTCCCTCCCTCCCAAAAAAGTGTTTCCTGTTTCATTTTTTGCGTATCCCAAAAAACACTTCTATCCTGCCTTGAATGCCAAAAAAACTTTCAAAATAACTTCTACCAACAATAAAGAAGAAATGTTGTAAATTTTAGGCATTTTAGATGTCGGTAGAAGTGTTTTATGGGATGCGCAAAAAATGAAACAAGAAAGACTTTTTGGGACAGAGGGAGTAAGACTTAAGAGGAGTGTGTGGTGAGGATTTATGGGAGGAGAGAGAAAGGGGAGAGGGGAGAGAAAATGTGAAAATGTTAAGTGGGGGTATTTTTGGTAGTTAGTGTTAAAAATAGAAATGAGAAGATTTTTTTCGGACGGGGAAAAAGGAGGAAAGGGAAGATTTTTTCCGGACGGAGGGAGTATTATCATTATTATATTATTGTTATATTTGGACCACTTGGGCTTGGCTCATTCCCTAATAGATAAATGGGCCCTATAATTAAAAACCAAGCCCAATATATAGTAACCCAAGTCCGGAACTCCGCCTCTCGTTCTCCGTAGGCCCTTATAATGCTATTTATGTTTTCTTCATCTAACCCTAATTTCCCTATAATTGAAGTTCGTTCTCCCCCTCCTCCTGACGACGATCCGTCCATAAATCTGGTAAAGTTTCATTTCTTCTTCTTCTTCTTGTTCGTTGCTACTGTATTGAGTTAGATCGGTACGAATTGCTGTTCTTTAGTCTGTTTATTATTTTTCTGAGCTCTTTATTAATTTTTTTGAGCATTTCTGTGCCTCAAGTTTTATTTTTACGAGTTTTTTGATTTATAATATGCCCTCCCTACGAACATTTTTTTTATTTATGTGCGAGATTCAATATGCTTTAGATTCTTGAGCCTCCGATTTTTCAACATAGTATAAGGATTATAATGATCGTACGATAAAAACATTTGTTTTCAGATAAAAATAAATCACATGTTAAACCTATACAACACCGGATTGACCATTAAAAATTTGTTTTATCGAAATAATGAGAAATTTCCCAAGTACTTAGAAGCCTCTCATAGTGGCTGTTGTTGTTGTTGAAAAGAAATGAATGGATGGAATACAACTGTCACTGTACATTTTATTAAACAACAAAAGACTAAAAAGTAAAGCATATTATAAGCATTGCATATTCTTTCTTAATCAGCATGGGTGCCTCTTTACTTGAATTCAAAGCATATCCCTACTACTTTGTTGTTATTGGTGTTTCATCATTTAGTTTGTGCTGGTATATGAACAATTATGTTATGGTTACTCTGCTAACCTTAAGTATCCCGTGCTGAGCACAGACCCATTCTAGGGTGTACAGAAGAAAAGCCTATTCAGTCAATCCCAAGCTAATCGCCTACACCCAACAATGGTAAGGATCGCGAATCTCTTTCTAGAATTTTGTATGCTTGAACTTGGCGATTTGAATTTGTTTTTTATTCATCCAGGGTATTGTATTAGGAGTATCTTTAATTCTAATTAAGTATCTTTGTTATACATATGCAACTATGGTTCTGAACATGATTTCTAATCTATGCAATTCATACTGGTTAAAAATGATATACTAGTGCAATTAGTCAAAAGTATATTGATCTGGATTGCAGGTATTTGTATCCTATGGAGTCTTTTTTCTGCATAGATTTCAAATGAAATTTCAAATGGGTTTTCCTCACATGATTGGACCATCACAGGCCTTATAATGTACTTGCTTAATACTAAACAACTAGTGGCATACCATATTTTGTTTGATATCTTAGTATTTAGCTGCATTTTACTTTTTATTACTGTACTAATGCTTCATATTAGTCCAAGAATGGTAGCTGTCACCTTAGGGCTTCATCTTCTTTTCAAAATAATATTCTGTAGCTTTTTAATGAAGATTGCATATCTAATGTGTACACATTGCACCAAATTCACCCCTAATTTGAAAATCTAGCAGTTTGCTAATACGAGTAATCTGGTCTCCCTAACATCAACTCTTCTCCTTTAATTAAGAGTTGCAAATTATTAATGTGAAACCTTTTCTTATCTTGTCCATCCAGGTGAATGTTCCAAAGACTAAGAAGACATTCTGCAAGTCCAAGGAGTGCAAAAAGCACACACTGCACAAGGTTACTCAATACAAGAAGGGAAAGGACAGCCTTGCTGCTCAAGGAAAGCGTCGTTATGACCGCAAACAATCAGGTTATGGTGGACAGACCAAGCCGATTCTTCACAAAAAGGTCTGCTTGTAGTGTACTCACTGTTTAAAAGTTCATAGGTACTGATTGATTCAAAGCAGACACGGTGTGAAAGTACTTATGCGTATGTTACACCGTTCCTCAATTCAGGCTAAAACTACTAAGAAGATTGTGCTGAAACTCCAATGTCAGGGATGCAAGCATGTTTCCCAACATGTAATCAAGGTTGTTTGGTTTGAACTACTATGTTTATAGTTATTGGATGACAGATAAATGGTGCGATTTTGGAGCTGACTCAAGTATTCTCTGGTTATTGTGCAGAGGTGCAAGCATTTCGAGATTGGTGGGGATAAGAAAGGAAAGGGAACTTCTCTCTTTTAAGTTGCAATGGAAGATCGAGCAATTCAAATGGTTGTACTTCATGTGGGATGTCATTTCATTTCTTAGTATGATCTATTATCTATGTTTTGAGTTTGTTGGTCTAAAGTGTACGTTTTGAATTGCCCCTTTTCTTGGCGTTATTTCTGCATTTCTCCTTTACAACTCCATTTCTTTCTCAATGGCGGGATATCTTGATGAGCTCTTGTTTCCAGAAGAGTTTTGTGTTTGTAGGAATATAATCAGCTTCTATTAAAGAACAAGCCCCTTTTGCGTCAAAGTAGAATCCCAAGAATATGTTCCCTTGTCTCTGTCCCAAAATGAAGTTTTTTTTGGGATGTTCCCAAAATGGTGTTTCCATTTTGGCATGTTCCAAATTAAAGTTATCAGGAAGATGAATATATCTTATACTGTGCATTTGGTGCTTCCAGTGGCTGCTTCATTGAGTTGAGTCATGTTGAGTTGTGCCACTTATGTTTATCATTTTTCCCATTTTTCTATCATGACTTAGATTAATACCAGGAGTAGTTCATGTTTACTACGTAGTATTCACATGATCTTAGATGATCATATTACTCCATATATTTTCTTTCATAACATACTTTATTGATTGTGGAGAATTTGATAGAATAAAACAGACAAATGCATTTGTCCAGAATAGAACCATGCAAAAGGAGAAATTTAGGGAGTGTTTCTTTGAGTTTGTTTATTGGCTTATTGTTGATAAGTACGGAGTAGTTCTTAATTTATAAGTTTATAAATTAAATATTCTTTTGTAGAAGTAAAACAATTTAAATATTAGATAAATCATTTGTAAATATTCATAAATGGTTAGATAATTTTGTAAATAATATGGTCAAAGCGGAGAAATAAACAAGCTAGTTTAAAAATAAGTAGTTAAGATTTACTTATTTTTTATGATTTATAAAAAAATTATAAGCCTACAGAAACATGTAAATCAAATATTACTTATAAGTAATTTTGATCAGTTTATAAGTACAAAAAACAAACATTTAATTAAATTGATATTTATCTTTAATTTTTAAATATACGGAGTAAATTTTATGTCCTACTTGGACTATTGTTTGTAAACTACAACAATAAGTTCATTTTGAATTTTTTTCTTCCCGAAATCTAGTCTGGGGTGGCTTCGAAAACAGAATTACTTTTGGTATTTCTTTATTTTGTGGTTAGAGCTCCGGAAAATAACGGTAATTTCAAAAAATGAACTCTATTTTTTCTTTTCTTTAAATATGTCCAAAAGTCAAAACATGCAATTTAAAACGGGACGGAGGAAGTACTTCTTACCCCCCATGCAATTCATTGATTGGTTAGAGTAATTGCTATACGTGTTTGGCAGGGGGGTGGTGGTGGTGGTGAGATGGGGTTAGGAGGGAGGTCAGAAGAGTCAAAACCATTATTTTTTTTAATATAACACACTAGGAGCCTCAGATCATCATTCAAATAGCAGAAGCATTATACTATATTATTCAAAGTTGAGTCTTGTTAGAGTAATTAATCCCAACATTTAGAGTTTACCATGATTTCATGCATTGCACAGATACGTACAATTAATGCAGTCTCAAAATGTGGGATTACCCTAATAATATATTTTCAAAATTGTTGTGGAGACTTGTAAGGTATTTCAAAAGCCAAACACCATCTCTCTCGTCTTTGTAGTCGACAGACGACAGTCGAAGGTGGGACCTACGTGAAGGCGACTATCACCCCCCCCCCCCTCTATGAATAAAGTTATTGACATGACGGTCAAGCCCTATGACGTGGTAATGAGGAGATCTATAAGGGACATATGAAGTATTATTATTGTGGTTTATATGACGGACCATGCTAGGGTGCTATCACATGGGTGCTATCATGAGTGCATCCATGCTTCGCACAGACAAACACAGACGATAATTGTCTGTGCGACACAGAAAATTATCATCTGTGTTTGTCTGTGCGAAGCATGGGTGCCCCCATGGTAGCACTCATGTGGTGGCACCTTAGCATTTTCCTTATATGACATTAGTCATCAATGTCATAGGATGACTAGTGACTCGTATGGTACTTCGCTTCAAAAGTTGGTGGTCCCCCCCCCTAAATATCATGTCCTCCAGCCCCTTTCCTCTCCCTTTGTTGATTAGCTATAGTAGGAGGTGGCTAGGGGAGCAAGGGGTTAGAGTATGAATCATCAATTTTTTTTAATGAAGCACCGTAAGAGTCTCGGGTTATCTTATGACATTGGTGACCAATGTCACATAAACCGGGGTGATTATTCAAATATCAGAAGCATTATATAGTATTGGTGTTGTTCAAAGTTGAGTCGTGTTAGGGTAATTAATCCCAACATTTTGGGGTTACCGCCATTTCATGTTTTGTAAAGCCGTGTTCAAACAATAAAAAATGTCGGTGTTACCCTAGCTTCTTTCTTCTTCAAGATTGTTGAGGGAGGCCGGTAAGGTATTCCAACAGCCACTCGCCATCTCTCTCGTCTGTGTAGTAGTCGACAGCCAAAGGTGGCACCTGCGTGAAGGCGATGATGGCTCCCATGAATACAGTTGTCGAGATGAAAAGAGGCCAGAAATAAGCAAACATGTCTGCAAATCGGGGGGCCACGTTAATCATGGCAGAAACAAGCACGGTTGATGTCACGAAAAAGACAAGAATGCCCTTGTACTCTGAAACTTTGGCACCAGCAGAAGCAATATTCCCCATTGCCCTGCCCTTCAATTCTCTCTCAAATATATTTACTTATTTTTCCTCAAAAGGTTTTCAGGGTATGTTTCACTGTCTGATCAGTCCTTCTCTTATTGTTATGTGTAGTTTTGAAAGATTCTTCCTTGAAATGTTTAGCTTCCTTTTCTCTTCTGATGGATTTCTTCAAAGCCAGGGCTAGGATACGTGGGTAAACCAATATGCACTGTACGGAGTATAGTTTAGTTTCTTCCGAAGAAGAATGGAAAAGTTTGCTTGCTTCCTTGCAATCTTGGTTTATCCCCTTTGCAAGTGTGTGTGTGTGTATTGCTTCATCCTGACACATGTTAGTGGGATCGGATGTGCTGGTACAAAATTCGTACCAGTTTATTTTTTTTTCAGATGTTGAATTCAGATATGAATCTTGACATAGGCTAAAAATCAAAATCGTATCTGCATCAATCGGATATCGGTCAAATATTAGATACATCCGTATCTATTTCCAAATTTTCATTCTATTGTATATACTTTCTCGTGTCACACTAATTAACCCCGATAGAAATAGTAATGACCAACAATAAGAATAATTTGAAATTAATTGGGAGTAGTCAGTTGAACTTACAAGTTTGGAAGGATCATGAAGTTATTGGTACCAGATCTCGATAAACAGAAAACAGAAATCTAGAACAAGAACTTATTGGAAATCCTTCTCCAATTAATTGAAAAACTTTGAATACATAAAATACAGAGAAACTATCCCTATTTATAGATGAGTTAACCTTGTCCACCAAGTTAAATCATCAGCCTTGCTCTCCAACCATAACATATCCTACTCCTACAAGCTATGATAATCTCAAATCCATCCGAGATATATCTCCTAAAATTATGACTGACTCTACCCTAATTATTAACAAATAAAGACTTCAACATAATTACAAAATAAACCCCCTAACTATTACTGAATGTCAAGATTGGTCCAACAATCACCCTCCCAATCTTGACCTTGAGTCTTCTTTTACTTCTTTGAGTCCTTCGAGTCTTCAATCCTTTCTACCCCAAGAATCTTTCTCATTTCAGCAAACTTCAGCTTTGGCAGTGCTTTTGTAAGAATATCAGCCCGTTGTTGATCTCCGCTGATGTGCTCAACTTTAATCTGCTCCTTTTCAACACACTCTCGTATGTAATGATACCGCGTGTTGATATGCTTGCTTCTTCCATGAAATACTGGATTTTTCATCAAGGATATTGCTGATTTGTTATCTACTTTGATCACCACTTGTTCTTCTTTTCTTCCAGTTATTTCAGCTAACAATCCCCTTAACCATATTGCTTGAC